TACTGACCAGAAGGCTAGCAGGTCAAATCCACCAGCTACTCCCTGCAAGGAAGACTGGGCAATCTATTTCTGTAGAGAGATACTGCCTTGGAAGCCCAAAGAGGGGTTGCTATGAATCAGATCCGACTCGATGACAGAGAATCTGTACAGAAGTTGATGTGCACGTCTTTCTCTCGTGGAGGTGCTCGTGGGTTCAAAGCACAAGCTTTCTCAGTTTGTAGCCAAGTGCTAACGCGCCGGGCCACCAGGCCCCTCTCCAGTCCCTGCAGCTGTGAGCACAATCCCCTTTGAGAACTGGGTTTTCTTTGGTGGATGGACGTGGCTGCACTATGCAGGGTGCCTTAAATGAACCTCCTTTAAGACACACAGGAGCCGGCTGAGCGGGCGCGCACCCACGGAGCGGATGGAACGCGCCGTGGTCACCAGGGCACCGAGGATCAGAAGCCGAGAAAGGGACCAGGACCCGCCCCCACAGCCGACCGAGAGCGCCACCTGGGCCCTGAACGCAGACCTCCACTCCTCAACGGTGACCAAAGCAGGTCCGGTCCACGGAAGCCGTCTGCTGTGTGTTCTGGCCCCGGCAGCACCAGGACACCCACACAGTGGCCTGCACCCTCACTGTGTTCTAACAACTGGAAATACAGAAAGACGTACCTCTCGCACAGGGCTCCAGACCTCAGAAGTTCTTGAAGATCTCCAAGTCCTGTGGCGACACGGGGGGGCCCTTGCTCCAGTCATGGTCGGGGTACGCCTCAAAGTTGGACGTGTCCCCATCACAGGACACTTTGGGCACAATGGGTGGCTGGGTGGGGACAGGATGAGACACAAACATGGAATTAGGCCACATGGCGTGTGGCTGTGCATTAGGTCTGTCCCTTTGCTTGCGCTGCTCAGTGTGAACATGGAAGGGATTCCTAACTGGTCGGCCTTCCTTTGCCGAGGAGGACCAGGAGCTCTGGGGGAAGCGTGCGTGGCAAGTTTCAAAGACAGGCAGACTGTGTGGGGGGCTTCTATAACGACAGCCGGGCTGACTCCCTGAGGGCCACATCCCCAGGCCTGGCCACAACCGAGGGCAGGTGGCCAGACACCAGACGATACAACCAAGTTGGAAAAAGTACCAGGCTAAGGTCTTACCCCACCCACCAGCCACTCCTGGGAAGGAAGGTTGGGCAATCCTACTTCCGTAGTGATACTGCCTCGGAAACCCAAGGAGGGGTCGTTATGAGTCGGGGCCGACTCGACGGCACGTAACAACAACAACAACAACAAGGTCTTAGCAGCTGGTGCCATACCTTAAATCTATTGTCAAGTTGCTTCTGACCCACAGCGCCCCTAGAAGACAGAACTGCCCCAGAGTCTCCAAGGCTGTCAGTCTTCATAGAAGAAAAGCCCAAACCACACCCACTGCCATGGAGTCCATTCTGACTCACAGCGCCCCTAGAGGACAGAGTGGAACTGCCCACAGGGTCTCCAAGGCTGTCAGTCTTCACAGAAGCAAAGCCCAAACCACACCCACTGCCTGGAGTCCATTCTGACCCACAGCGCCCCTAGAGGACAGAGTGGAACTGCCCCACAGGGTCTCCAAGGCAGTCCAGCCTTTAGGAAAGCCGACTGCTTCATCTTTCTCCCACGTGGTGTCTGGTGAGTTCAAACCGCTGACCTGTTCGTTAGCAGGTGAGCCTCGGAACCACTGCACCACCTGAGCGCCTTCCTTCAATTCCGTATCAATAAAGCGAGGCTGCAAACTACAGCCACGGTCCACAAATTCTGCCCAAAAAAGCCGGGCAATGAAGAGTTTTAGTTTTGCAGCCATCCAGTTTCCGTCTCAGGACGCCTCCACTCCCCTGTTGGAGGGGGCAGCAGCTGTAGCCTGTATGTAAACAGACAGACGTGGCTGGGGCCAGTACAGCGTTCTTGACAGAGACAGGTGGAGGCCAGAGCCGGTCCGCACCCTGGGACTAGCGTTTCCTGTCTTGCTCCCGTTTCTGTCAAACAGCTTCCCTGCTGCCGTCACGGCTGCTAGGCTTTCTCGGGTCCCTTGGAATGGATCTCCTTGACTAAGACTATTCTCTGAGTGTGCGGTGCACCGGCCTCCCCGTAACCCTGCCAGGAGGGGCCCCAATCTCAGGTTCCACAAAGAAAGATCTGAGGCTCACAGAGGTGAGTGGCCAAGGTGAGTCCAGGACGTGGCCATCCCAAAGCCCTGAACGTCCCACAAGCAGTGGCCCAGTGCCTCCCCAAGGCGACCCCGCCTGTTTCAGAGAAGAACCGCGCCCTGCGGAATTCTGCATGTCTGCTCTGTCAGAGGGGGATTTCAACACCTTTCTTCTTCTTTTTTAAAAATTGAACACACAATTTTATGAAAGGCTTTTAGAAATACATAACGGAGTTTTCTTCAAACACTTAAACATCCTAGACGCATAAAATCCCACCCTGTTACTACGGTTTGAACATGTTTCTATGAACCATTTTATCATAAATTAACTCCTTACACCTCTCAGAAAGACAGTAATTAATAAGCCTGTAAAAATAAGGGTTACTGCTATCACCACTTCTATTCAACATTGTACTGGAAGTCCT